CTAATTATGGCTATTGAATATTGATTGTATATTGCGAATTAAGATAAAAAAGGTAAACAAGTTTTTGCTTTTTTTTTTAAGGCGAATTGTTATGAAGGTTTGTTGCCTCTATGTCATTAGTACAGTTCGTAATTTTAATTATTTAAAATTAGTATTAAGTTAAATACAATGATGTATTGATTTATGTCAAAATCCAGAAAACTGGACGGAAAATATAAAATTGACTTAATTAAAAATTGTTCGTGATCTTGACAAAATATAGGGATATCATATATTCAGGTGCGTACTGGCCCACCGTAATACCCGGAAAATTTCGGTAGGCTCTTACTCAAAAATTATAAGACCTGGGGCCCTTACTAAATAAGTACTTGTAGTTTCAATTAAACTCAGTAATTTTATTATTTTTAACAACTAAAATATAATACTGATGGACAGTCGACTTCTTAATTTAATACCCAGTGGGAAATGAGTATAACACGCAATTTTTCGAATAATTTAATTAATTTGCTTTTGGTAAATATGTCTGTTACTATTATTTCGATTATTAAAATTATTCGATCATTCTGATAATCGAAAAATAATAATTGAATGATTCGATTATTTCAAATAATTGGATCATTCGTTTATTCCATTTGATTATTCCCATCACTAGTAACTAGTTACTGTTACAACAACTGTTACAACTGTTGTAACATCACCAGCAGAATCAGTAAATAATGTAGCAGAAGTTCGGCGGAAATAATGACCTGTATCAGCACGGGAATATAGTAAATTTAAATATATTACAATTTATTTAGGCATATTTCCAATTTTGTTTTTTCCAATAACCTGCTTGATGCATTAACCGTTTTTTACAACTAAAAAAAAAATCTATCTGACGTTACATTCGTGGGTCATAAATTCATGCATTTTAGAAAATATCATATAACTCCCCTTTAATAGTAAACAATTTGTTTTTGAGTAGAGAAGTTTAATGTGTAATATATATTTCACTAATGAATATAACATATATCGTAATAAATGAACGGAGAATAAATAGCCAATATATACAAAACAATTTTATCTCACCTAACTTTTTACTAAATATTGAATATCACGAGCTTCGTCAATGAATTTTTTATATCAGTTGAAGTCAAAACTTTGGAATTTTTACTTTTAATCCATTCGATGTTCTCTTTAAAAAAAACTTGTAATTTTAAAAAAGTATCAACGTTAATATTATGTTTCATATTTTTCATGCTTTTAAGCATTAAATGATTGGACAATAGAATTGACGATTTAATTTCTGTAGATAATTTGTTAAAATTTGTAAGAAACACATTTTCCGACAACGATTTGGTTTTATTTATATTTCTCGATATTAAAAGTTTTTCATAAGCCATTATATATATTTCTTTTGATTTTTCAGGCAATAGATTTAGTCAAACAGCATTTGCTGTTTTAACCGTGTATGGTGAAGTTAATGGTTTACTACAACTATTGTACTGATTGTCATCTTTCGTACTTATGCTTGTTTGCGCGCTTCGCAGTCAAACCATCATTAGTTCAATTGTGTGGCGTACTCACGTCAATTGCAATAAAAAAGAACACTTAACAAGGATAATCAATGAAATTATAATAAATGCCGGGATAAACAGCCACAGTAATATTACCAAAAAAAGTAATAATAAATATAATAAATCTAATTTGTTGTAATAATATAGCAAGACAAATCGTATACAAATAAATATAATATTTTTAACAAATATAACGGAACATACCTTGGACGGTCTGGCGTTCGAGTGGTTATGTCCACACGACCGTGTTCACACGTGCGACAAATGCCACAACCGGCAGAAGAATCGGTTGATCAGCAGTGTTGGTCTCGATTTACATTAACTGGCTTCTCCGCGTACGACGATAACCGAAAGAAAATTTTGCGGACAGTTGTCAGCTACGGTTCGAACAGTCATTATACACACGAAGTGGTCCCCGGAGATGGCGACTCCACCGTGCTATGCGGCAATAACAAAAACACACGGCCGGTAGCACGGGAAAAATTACGAGTCAGACGTTCGCAGACGAGTGTCCACGGAAAAAAAAAATTAAAAAGTCACAAAAAAAAGTCCCGGCAGTAATGGCGTCCACGGACCAGTGATAATCGTACCACGATAACGCACAAATCGAAAATTCTCGAACATCACACGCTGTCACCGTTATCGGGTGCTCGTGTTAACACGAAATGAGATAATTTGAACGGCGACGTTACACTTGCGCGAACGATCTCATTTTTTAATACGAATTATTATATAAATTACGCAAAACAAATTTATCCGTAAAGTCCAACGCACTTGTGTGGGAACAATGAAAACGAAATATGTTTAAACGTATATGCGTCGTGCAAGGAGGTTGTGTTATGTGTATAAGATTTAACCGAAAGTTTATGTTTTGTACGGACCATGGTATACATTTAAGTTTCTGGTTGTGCTAAGAACGCTCTTGGAAATTTCCACTTTACTACACCGTGTTATAGGGATTTCCACATTCCCTCCCTCTCTGGCACTTTTTGGGATTTCCATTTTACTGCTCGCCACTATGGGATTCCCATCTTACTGGCCGAATAAATGTGACATCCAAAGCTTCGAAGTCGAAAATCAAACTTTCGGTACATTTGAGACAAAAATGTTATACCTAGAGAATCATGTTTGAATTTCATTTACCGTTTACCTTTGTGTTTATCATTTCGATTTCTTTATTGTATAGCACTTACGAGTGAAAGAGAAATTATCTTTTGAGATGAAAGTAATTCAACAGTGGATGATCCTATAAGTAAGGGAGCAGGTTTTTGATTTTTTTTTTAAGAATTTCATGGATGATTGAATGCTCTGCAAATGTTTTCAACGCCTATAATAATACACAAAAACAGTAAGGGAGTTGTATATATTGAAATAATAGTCTTAAAAGATTCTTCCGATCTCGACAAATATTTCCGTTCTCTCTTAAAATAACAATTATGTCCCGTCACCACAACAACCAGTGGTGGTCAAACGGGGGGGGGGTATATCCCCCCATGACCTTTTTTTAAATATTTATAATTAATCCATATTATACATAATATAATATAGGTATTATATTATGTATAATATGTATAATATAGGTACCCTCAAAGAGGGTAGCTACCCCGGACGGTAAAATTTTAGGGACCGCAATTTTTTGACAACGTCAACAAAAGTTTTGAAATTTTCTAATATATATACTAGTTTTTAGGAAAAATTATTAATTCATGATTGAAAAATATTAATAACAATCATATAATATTATAATTATAATAGTTATATTATATTATATTAAACCGCTAACTTATTTCGTCAGTGGGCGTTCAGCATATTAAGGGTAAAACCATATTATTATTATTTAGCGCTCGGACCTATGCATTTTTATTTTCATTACACTGACATAAAATTGTATTTATTGTATTTCTTATATATCTATGTGTATATTATAATTTATAACCATCAGATTATTAAATGCATAACTATTCATCTGGATCTGTAGTTCGTTTAATTAAATGTAAAGTTGGCAAGGCCAAACTACTAAAATAAAACCTCCCTTAACGGACACCTCTAAATAGCGGATGTTTTTATGGAAACAGGGACATTTTCACTACTTTTATTTAGGAAAACCCCTAAATACAGGACACTCTAAACAACGGACACTTTTATGGAAATTTAATTTTGATTTTGACAATTTTTATCGTAAATATAGAATAATCGTTGAATGCCAATTGAATTTAATCTTACTACTATGTATTATACAATACAAGCTGCGCGGTAGATAATTTATAAATATTAAAATACAGAAGTAATTGTCGATAAGAAAATAGCAATATTACAATACGTAATATTCCGCGTGTTCCTAAATTCATCAGATTGGTCAGCTACTGGTTTTGACTGTTCATAATTACAGCAGATGGCCAATCAGTTGGAAGGGAGGTAATCATTGACTTATCAGCAATCTGCTATTTTACGGATTGACTGAAATGAAACCCGCTGGATTTGATAAAAATTATTCCCGCCAAAATTAGTGTTATTGAATTTGTCAATTATCATCCGTGCTTATAAGTTTTGTCGTCAACTTTAGAAACTTAAAATCATAATAAATGAATGATTATATCCAATTAAACTTGACACATGAAGAAAATGTTTATACAAATCTTCTTGTTACAAACACAATGTGTTTATCGTTTGACCATGGTAAGTACTAAGTAAAACTATTTTATTTTTATAAAATTGGTGTGTACTTATTTCTAAGATTTTGGAAACTAATAGCGTTAAAAAAATAGTTTTATAGTTCTCAGGTAAACATTTATCACAAGATTATGTAGTGGGATAGTACTGCTTTTTTGAAGGCTCTATTTAGTTATAAATAGTATTAATTTTAATTTATATTTAACAATTATTAAGATATGTAATTGCTAATTGTTATATTTTAATTGTTATTTTATGAATTTAATTAGATATTGATGAAGAAACATTATGCAAAAATATAACAAAACTATTAATAAAATATTGTGTTGTATTCAAAGAAAACCAAAAAGTTGTTGTTGAAATATCGGAATGGTAAGCTTATTTTCAATAGAATTGTTCAAAATTATTAATTTAATTGTTTTAAATAACTAGTAAGAAATTGTAATGTAACTTTAAAATTTTAAAAAAATTATACACAATCGAAAATCTTGCTTGAATATAATTGATAATTGATATTATGAAAACATATTAGCGGTTGATGGCGGTCAAACGTATACACCAACTTGTTACAACGAAATATCCCAAAAAGGTGTTCCTAAATTCCAATCAATCCGCTTGATAAGGTGATGAATTTAGGAACACACGGATTACGATACGCTGTATCTACACAGAAATTGATCGTTCTCCATCATCATTCGACCGCCTTAGGGTCCGAACGCACTGCGGTATTTTCGCCGTCGGGTCCGAACGGTTTTACCCGAACGGTTTTTACGTTCACACCAAACTGCTATATTTAGACGGACTGCACCGCACTCGACGGTTTCGCCATTCTCCGCCGTCGGTCGCCGCAACATGCTGCGGTTTGACGGCGCTGCCGTTGTACCGTTCGTAAAGTAAACACATTGTTTCGATGGGAAGGAACCCACTGTGACTATAGTCAACGGTTATTTTGTAATTTTGCATATTTTTATATTTTTTTTCTAATTCACCAAATGCTTCTGCGACAGCAATCACTTTAAATAAATTGTCATAATCATCTAACTCCATTCTAAATAAATTAAATGTAATATAATAAGTAGGACTATGCATTAAATTAACTAATAATTTAATTTATAACTTACTTACATGTATTTAGGTGTTTGTGTACAAATCGTGGTACGTAGGTATAAAAAATTTAAATTTACAGTATTAGATATAGTGAAATATAGTAAATACAGTAGATCACAGACCATAGTAGTTGGTTAACCAACCACTGTACTATCAACTATCAATATTCAATTTTCTTATGGAAATTAGAAATTGATATTTAGCCAGTTTAGGCGCGAAAATTGAGTGATAACACCTATTGTATTAAATTCAATATTTATATATAAATTGTGTCCATTGTTCATTAATCATGTGCTCTAAATAATTGTCATTACCGGACCCAATTCTATGAATTCGTACTTTGATGTGTCTACATAATATTATTGTACAACAAAATAAATATTAGGCGTGAAACGTCCGTTATTCATTAAAAACTTGTACTATACGCAGTGCACTTTCTTCCATAATGTGTTCAGTGTTTATCGTCAGACCGTTTTCATATTTTTCATAATTTTGTCTATGACTTTCAATTTTATTTTATTGGTGAAATATTTTATATTTTGAAATGGATTGTTACATAATGCAATCATTACCCAAGACCAGGGGCGTAATTAGGGGGGGGGGGGATTAGGGGGATGGATCCCCTCCCAAAACTTTTTTTATGTAATTTTATTTTATTTATTATATTGTGATAATATGATTATTTTTACTATTACGATTATTATTATTATTAAAATTTAAATTATTAAAAACTTTGTTCTGGTGGAGGAGGTTACTGTAAGAGGTGTACAGATTTTGCTAAAACCTATAATCCCCCCCCAAAAACAAATTCCTAATTACGCCACTGCCCAAGACCAAAAGAGTTCGCCTACAAACGGATGAAAACGTTGATGCCTTATATAAATATCTAGATAATAGTGATTTTATCTATCTATATCTAGATAATTTTAAATCCAGATATCTTATCTATATCTAGATAATTTTTTTTTATCCAAGCACAACACTGATTATTCTTATAAAATTAATCGTCATTATATTTTTAGTACCTTACGTCGTTTAAAGACATGGCTAAGAAACAGAATGGGAAATGAAAGGTTTAGTGGTTTAGGTCTGATTAATATTCATTGACAAAGATACGGAATTTTTGAATATTATATCAAGTAAAACTAATTATAATGAAACTGAATCAATCTTGAAACAGTCTAAGTCAGATAATTCAATAACGAAATGTTTGAAATTTTTATTTCCAGTGTGTGTGGTTATATTAATTGTATATACATAAATCATATAAAAAATCGTGTAGAACTATAGAATATTTTGTTGTACTCATAATTATTTCAATTCAATTGATAACTGTTGATTTTATCTCCTCATCAAGCACACACAATTGATCTGTTTCTAATTGTAATTTTGCGGTATCAATATCTAAAAACAAAAACAAAAAACAAGCTAAACAAATGAAATTAAGAAAACATTTTTTAAGTTATATATCAAACCATTAGTGTTGACAGATTGTTGATGTTTATAACATATATTTTCTGCAGCTAAACATTTTAGAAAATGGTTTCCTGTCGATGATACAGTTTTCGACTTCACTAAAAATGATTTAATATTATTATTTCAATTTGACCCGCATAATATACAAAAATATTTTAATATTAGTATCTAATATTATTATTACGAGTAAGTAGAGAAAATATAAAAGTTAAGTGACCGAAATGGTTATGACAGTAATTTTATTTGAAGGGATTATTTATTTCTTATTTCAAGAATAATTTTTTGGTTAAAGTTTAAGAAGTTTAGTAAAAATTACTGTTATTTTCCAACATAGCTTGATTTTTTTCTTGACATTTATTAATTGTTGAGAATGATTTCCTTAGGAAAGAACATGTACATTTTAAAAAATATTTCTGACATAGTAAATAATAGTTATCATTTACATTGATCGTATTTTGTGGATAGTTTCTACTTCTTTTAAAATGTGTTGCTGTAATATTCTTTCTTGATTGTTCATAGTGGATACAATATGCAAACCTTTTAATTCTGGACGATGGAGGTTGAAAAATGAATTTCTTTTCTGCTCAAATATATAAATAACTACTACTTAATAATTTTAAGATTTTTTTTATATTCATATATTTACTGTAAATTAAAATATTTCAGCACACTGAGTGCTATTACAAATTTGAGAATCTAATAATATAAACTAATTATACTTATATAATTATGATATGTTAATTTGATATTTGTATTAATACATATTTATAACATTTTTAGTATTGATATTTGATTTTATAATCGATATAATTAGGTTCTTCTTAATTTAAATACTGCTGTTAGTTTTAAATAATGAATACTTAATAATCTTAAAAAATAATTATATAAGATATGTCCATCATAAAATTGCCCACGAATTATTATTCCTTAATTCATTTTAATTTCATCTTTACATTGATAAATCTTATCGCATCATTAATTATTTGTTTACATTTTAATCGTCCAGGTAAAAAAAAAAATATATATTATAATAGTTATGATAGTAATTATACTATGACTATCATACCTAACTATTATAATATTATTTTATTTATCTGGACAATATATCTTGTAAGATATTCCTTATTATAAAATATATAATGAGAAAATTACGACGTAACCAAAATAAAGTTGAGAATTATAGAGGAATAACACTGTTGAATACTGGGTATAAGGTATTATCATAAATCATACTAAAAAGATTGCAAATTTATACAGATGAGATAGTAGGTAATTACCAAAGCAAATTCAAAAAAAACAAATCATTTACCAATCAAATATTTGTCATAAGACAAATTACGAAAAAAAGTTACGAGTTCGCAAAAGATCTACATATGATTTTTATAGATTAAAAACAAGCCTATGGGAGCATAAATAGGAAAAACTATGGAAAATTCTCAAAGACTTTGGTTTACCAACTAAATTAATCAACGTGATACAACTGTACAATACAAATACCAGCAGCCAGGTCAAGGTGAACAATGAGGTATCATCTTCGTTTATAATAAATAGTGGATTGAAACAAGGTGATGCAATGTCACCAGTGCTTTTCCATATGGCACTGGAGAGTGTAATAAGAAAGATACCGCGAACTGAGGTATTAAACCTTGACGAAGGATATGTCCTACTAACATGCAGATGACATAGTGGTTATTGGAAATTCACGCGAAGGTATTCAAAGTACTGTTGAAGAACTGATAAAGATAGGAAAAGGTATTGGCTTAAAAATCAACAGTGTAAAAACTAAATACATGATGGTAAAACGAGGAGGGGATGACCATAAAAATCTTCAAGTGGAGAATAACACCTTTTGAACAAGTATAAGAGTTCAAGTACCTTGGGTCTACCGTAAATAACCAAAACAACATGCATGAAGAGATCAATATCAAATTAGGTGCTGCTAACAGATGCTTTTATGCATTGAAAACTCTCTTTAAATCTAAACTGTTGTCAAAGAAAACAAAAGAACATCTATACATAAGTTACATTCGCCCTGTATTGACATATTCATGTGTCACATGGGCAACGACGAGAAATTATGATAAAAAAATAACGCTTATTTGAGAAAAAAGTTCTTAGAAAAAATTTACGGACCCGTATTCAACAATACAGAACAAAAATGGGAAATAAAAACGAATGCACAACTGTACCAGGCTTTACAAAAGAGAAGATGTGGTCCAATTCACCAGAGGGATAAGGATAGAATGGGTAGACCATGTATGGTGGGCCGATAGAAGTTATGTTGATAGGAGCATCGACATATATGGTGAGAGGAAAGGATCAAGGGGAAGACCGCAGAAAAGATTGAAGGACAGCGTTAAGGAATTATTAGAAAAAATTGGAGCGGACTGGGAGCAGGCATATGATTGAGAGCGTTGAAGTAGTTTTATTGGCTAAGAGTCTGAATGACTCATAAAAGCCTAAAAAAAAAAAAATATATAAAACATAATAATATATCGTTGTTATTTTACGAGTTCTCTAAAAAAATATTCGATGAGGAATAAGGGAGACAGATGTATATATAATATAAATACAATTAAAAATAAATCAAAAGTAAAAAGATTGGTGGTATAAAACAGTCAAGACCACTTTTTCTTTGTACTTAATATTTGTATAAAAACTTTACTTTGATCGCAGATTCATTCGTTTTTATATTTCGTATTGAAATAGTGGAGAGTCCATTCGATATTAGCTGTTGATTAATATTTAATTCTTGTCCATCATATAAAGGTACGATTTTTGGGATTAATTTAGTATTCATTTTTTCCTGTGAAAAATTATATCAAAAATAAATTTAATATATCGTCTCAGGCAATGATGATAAATTTATATATAAGCTTAAGGATACTTTTATAATAAAAAATATTAAATTGATTTATCAGAAACAAATATTATTATTTCTGCAATAAAACGACATTACTTGATTTTCGTGGTATTGTATTGGGTCGTTTTTGTCAATCAAATTGCTTTTTCCCTCTTTGGCTTGCAACATGGTTTTTTATGAATTTTGTATTAAAAATAATTTGTGTTTGATTTTAATTAAAAAAAAAAAATCGTAATTGATATTATACACCATATGACGATTCATTTTTGTAGCTATGAACACAATTAAAAAGCCAGAAACAAATTCTTAATGAGATACTGGAAATAAGTGCATAGATTTTTAAATTTTTATTTTGAAAGTGAAATGATAAATTCAAACGTTCTGAAAATAATTTTAAATATATCCACAGAATATATTGAAACAGAATGGAAACTAATGGCCGTTCAAATTTTAGTACGCCATCATGAAAAAATTTAACAGGTTTCCTAGATAGAAAAAAAAAATTATTATATTATTTAAATATTATTCAAATACATTGTTTATCAATATTTTTATCAATAAACTATGTTTATAGAAATTTAGATTTACCTGAGAAGAAAACATTTACATATGTGTGTGGTTATATGATAAAAAAGTGTTTAGAAAAACATACACCTTTGTCAGGATTTTATTAATTTTGTTTGTAACAGTTAGACCTGTCTTATATTTTTATATTCATATTTTTATATGTGTAATTACCATTTATTTTATTTGTATAACATTTATAACTTTTTGATATATATATATAACTATTAGTCATGTAATTTATTTACTTGTTTTCGTTATTTAAAAAGACCTGAACATCTATCTGATTCAATAGCTTATAGAATAATAATTAGGTACATTATTTGCTTATAATTTTTTCAAATAAATCTCTTTTGCAAATATTGCATGTTGTTTAAATTATTGTCATCAACTGAAAATAATTTTTTGCTACACTGATAAATTAATATAGATAAAAAATGCAACTTTATTGAATCATTTTTTAAAATATAAGGTATAATATTAACATATTAACATATCAATAAATTGTAATACAATTGATGAATGTTTGTTATTCCATAAACTAAGGTCAAAATTCAACTGTTGCGTGGTAATTTCTAATGCTGTTATCTTTTCCTCTAGCTATCGTGTTTTTTTCTGTTGTTGATCTGTTCTCATCGGATGTTCCCCGGTTTCGTCTAGTCTTTATACTCATGTTGACGATATGTTAGTTGGGTGTTAATCAAGGCAGTATCCCAAATGTTTTTTGTTAACTACTAGTGTTCTCGTGGTCGTTTAAGAGCCACTGGTTGGACGCCAGTTGAAACGGTGTACCGGGGTTACCGACACCCAGATCTTTATATCAATGTACACGAAATAAATATCAAGTTATTTTTTTAACATTAAATAAAAGTAATACAATTAATTAAATAAAATTATTCCGGGCCGCACGACTGGCTCGAATAAGCGGCCGTGGCTTGCGGTATCGGACCTGAGCAGGTGCGATAGAGAATTGGATACGCGGTCGACGGCAGACTTAAGCAAACGAGCGAATCGACCGTGATCACTTTAACAGCGGACACTTGTGTAAGCGCGCCGAATAGGTTTGTACGGATATTGGCCCAGAAAAGGGCCGTTTTAACAAGCGTCTAGAGCAGCGGTTCTCAGACTGTGGTACGCGTACCACTAATGGTACGCAAAAGACTACATAGTGGTACGCGAAAGGCCGGGTGGTGGCAGAACTGGAATTAAAAATGCAATATTTAACAACTCATATATTAATTTAAAAACAATAATAAATTTATATTAATAAATAAATAATAATTTTATTTTAGTATTTTACTGCCTTATTATTTAAAATAATAACGTATTTAACTAAGTGAAGTTTGTATGGTTCGATTTTTAATCATTAATGGTACGTGACTGATTGATAATATACTCAAGTGATAACAGCATTAATTTAGGTTCTTTAGAAGAACATTTTTTTATGAATATTACGACTATGAACGAAATATTATTTAAACATCTCTGAGTAAAAAATAAATAAAATAATTTAACATGGAATTCTAACGCGGAAGTTGGAACACACTGCATTACTTTTTTGTTCGATGCTGTCTTATCATTATCTCACTCGATGTATTGTTATCTTATATTTTAACATCGAGATGTATTAACCACTTGGATGGTTGTTGTCTCAACAATAGGATAACCACAACCACAGATATATAAACATACGTATGTTTATATATCTGTGACCACAACACAATCGACCAACCGGCTTGTTTATCAGACTTATTATCATCTCTAATCGTGTAATTTAAATTTTAATCATTTTTAACTTTCAACGTATATATTACTATGCTAGTAATTGCAAAACTTAAATTCAAAACGCGTCTTATTATGTGAAATTTGAAATCTAGTGTTAAATTGGTACCAAACATTTTAGTAGTAATTCTATAGCCTAGCGGTTTTCTACATTCTCATGGTCCAGTACCGCCTACTAGTTTTCTAAATTATCATGTTCATCACTACAAACAATTTTTTTTATAACTATTGATATAGTCATGCTTATTAATTTGTTAATAAGTAATACAATTGTTATTTCTATATCTTTCATTTAACACGCATGTATTCTCAAGCACAACAAGTTGAGAATCGCTGCTATAGCCAATTTAATATGGACATATTTATATTAATTTAGATGCTCAGTTACTCTAGAACATAGCTTAAATACTATTATTATTATTAGTTTTAAGAATTTTTTTTTTCTTTTCTTTGCAAATAATTTTACTAACAATTCAAGGAGATAACTTCAGTCGTCTTAATTTCTATACATACTATGTAAATTGAATACCATTTTATACTAATATCAGAATTAACTATGTAATAAAACATTATTATTAAACTATTTATCAGATATACTTAATACTGCTCTGTTATCTTAGTAGAATGAGTTGGTAGGTGTTTAAGTTTGTTATCAATGACATTTTAATGTGTATGAAATAGTTTTAAAAGGCAACCATAAAAACATTTTTTTTTACTCTTCTTTCAAAAAAAAAAAAATTCTTCCAACCATAGGTAAGTAATTTTTTTATAATAATAATGATTTACATTGGCTTAATCTAATTGCAGAAAAAAAATTGTATGAAATGTTTAAAAATATATTATTTTGAAATTAAGAATTGTTCAGGCTGCTTGTAACTGTTACATAAAATTGTAAAAAAAAAAAAAATCTATTTATTTCTTAATTACTTAATTTACATAACCTATTTCTTAAATTAAAATTGATTTTAAAATTAGTTTATATAATATTATATGTAGTAGAACTCCAATTATCCGAACGTCAATCATCTAGACTTCCAATTAACTGTACACGAAAAATAAAGTTTGGTCTTTTAATTTGTAAATCAGGTTACTGCTTCATGCTAGTTGTCTGGAAATGTGTACAAAATTGCATTTTGGAAATTTCATGAAAAAAGTTGCTGAAGCAAGCTGAAGACACCCAAAACATGGAACTAAATTTTGAAATAAGTGAAATGCAGGAGTGTTTAAACTATGTTCACGTTATTTGTTTGTATTATTGTGATGATGAGAATGTAAATGAGTGGTTGCATATGAACATAAATGATCCTGGATATCAAATACTTTCAGGCTGCGGCATAGCCTGGATAGGGGAGGACTAAAAGGTTATAACCCCCTCCCGAAATGTCTCTTACTTTGTAAGATATACAATAATTTTTAGACATATATTTAATATGTTATATCATGTCATAATTAAACAATTTTTACAGTTTCATCAAACTAAATGATAAATTAAGAAAAAGAATTTAAAATTTAAAACTCCTTCCAAAAATATTTTTTCTAGCTATGCCACTGCTTTCAGATAATGAATAGTTCGTAACTTATTTGAAAAAGATGATACTAAAGGAGAAAAAAATGAAACTATTGATTTGACTAAAGATGAAAATGACACATCTAATTCTGAAGTTTTTGATGCGTTAGATTTGGCGTTTAAAGGTTTGAGAGGCAAGAAGAATCGAACATAACTCAATTATTACAGTTAAGGAAATTAAAAAACATAGCTGCTCTAAAGAGAAAGTTAACTATGAAGCAAACCAAAATATCATAATTTTTAAAAATAAAATAAAGAATGTGCCAAGTCAGCTATTTGTAATTTTTTTTTTTTTTAAATATGCTATTTTATTTATATCTTATTATTTTACTGTTAAATATAAATAATAAAATTATTTGCTTATTATAACAAATTTCAAATAATATTACACATATTTATTAAATACATCCATACAATATATTTATACAATTTTATAGCTTTTAATATGCCATATGTCAATCATTTGAATATTTGCTTATTCAAACCACCTTTGACATTAATTAGTCTGAATGATTGGAGTTCTACTGTATATAATTATTTATATTGATGTTATTTCTTAGTTCTGTATAGGTTGACAAATATAGAAATATATACATATATATAACTTAAGTATATTTTAGTATACCTTGGATAGGCACAATTAAAATATTACATTATACTTATAATATAAGATATTTTACTTTGTTTTTTAAGTTTTCATTACAGTGAAACCTTTATATAGTGGACAGCCACAGGGAAATAAAAAATGTCCACTATAGAGAATAGGTTATACATTGTACATGAATATATACGTTGGAATATTAATTTATTATTTATTATATATATAATATGTATGTATTAAAAAATTAGTATAAAAATGCTTATAAAAATTTTCAATGGTTATGTACAATTAAAAAAATCTCTAATCTTTTTTTGTATACATATTTTCTGCTCTTCACAATGAATTTGTAAATTGGCTACCATTGATAATGCGATCTCATTTTCTTTATTTTTAAAATATGTTTTTAAATTATTTATTGTTTTCCAAACTTCTTCAACTTCTTCGGTTTCTTTTTCACTCAAATTGTCTAGATTACAACTAACTATATCTGATATTATTAAAGTATTGTCTTCTGTAAGGATATTATTATCTATAGAAATATAGTCCTCAATTTCAACAGTACTCGGTACAAGTTCTGAGAATATGATCAAATTTGCAACATTATCATGTTCCATTACATATTCTGCTATATCGGACGAAAAATGCACCCAATATACTGCATACAACTAACGACCAAACACATAACCGAACCATATGTCGTTTTTCAAATAGAAATAAGATAAAATATAGGTTAATGTATAACAAATAAATATAGTATTTTATTTTTTGATACGTACATGTACTGTGTCCATTTATGAGAGGTAATTTTTAATTTGGTACCAGTTTATTGTGTCCACGTTCACTATTATAAGTGTCCACCATTCAGAGGCTATTACTAACTCCTATTATGTGCATACATTTTTGCAAGAGTATTTAGAAGTGTCCACTATTGAGAGCTTTCACTGTATTTAGTAACATATATATTGATTTTGAGGTGTATTTATGTAAAAGTAATTTTGAAAAACTATATTCAAATATTAGTGCAGCTAAAATAATATATTTTTAACTAAGAATTTGAAAACTCTTATGAAAAATACGTCTTGAAATTATTTTAAAAAATAATTATAATAATGTAATATCACTAAAGTACTTCAATACTGAAATCAAACCATGTTACACTTCTATGTACAATATTTTGTTGATAAAAATAAAATAAAATTATGCTCACAATTTCTATGTTTTTGTTCGCAATCAGTCTCGGCACAAGAAAATGCCAAACTTGGTGTGAAATATGTTTTTTATTTGTAAAGGTACTTCTAGACACTTGTATAAAATATTTAAAGTCACTATTGGCATATAGTTTGATTAATTCTAGAGCCTCTTATTATTATTATTATTATTATTATTATTATATTGATTTCAATAAAATTATTAAAATAAATAAGTTTTCATGAATATGAATTCGTTACGCCTACCAGATTACCTATTAACTTTACAACGCCCACTTTTTATTTTATCGATATATTCAGCCTGACCAAGTTGAATTGGCCAATTGCAAGGTCTGCTAAATCAATTATAACTACTAGAGATTCAAAAGTAATTTTACTTAAATGTTGACATTTATTGATTGATTATTATAAGAAAATATAGATAATAAAGTTTCTACTGAATTTTCTAATGATATAATAGACACGTTATCCTAAAAATTTAGCATCAATTATAGATACAAAAGGTAATTTTTGTTCACGTATGCTTGTTGAACTATCTAAAATTATATTGACATACTCTTTATGGCTTTTAGGGACATCATATATTAATTTATAACTAATTAACATATTGAACATAAATATAATTACTAAACATTAAAGTATTGTTGCTCAAAAATAAAATTACTTATTATTTTTAGTTGCGTAATTTTGGTAAAGTGCTGGGCACACTTCGCCTCCCCCCCCCCTTTAGCTGGCCCATTTACAATATGTATTTATAATGTAAACTGTTTTGACAAACCATAGGTTTATATATACAGTCATAAGCATATTTAAATTACAAATTAATTTTCTGTACATATATTAAATAACTGTTAAATTAAGTTTTTCGAAAATTTCATTAAATTTACATAAAGTCCTAAATTTATTTTAAAAATAGTTTTTTTTTTTTTTAATTTTTAATTAATATAGGCATAATTTTATATACTAATTTATGATCTAGTATTTATATTTATTTTTTGCTATTGGTTGCATGCATTTATGACAAAGTAAATTAACTTCAGGTAACATAACAAAACGCTGTCTAGTGCATGAACTAAACTATATAAGACTATATTAAATGCAAACAAATATGTATGTCCCTTTTACGTTTTACGTTCTAGGTTCACTTTTTATAAGTTCTTTTACATTATAAATATAAATTAGTTATTAAGTAAAGGACTATAGGTCTTAAGACTATTTATTTTTTATTATTAGAAATATTTAAAAAATCACGCATCAATCACAGAATTTTATATTATAACACGAAAATCGTGCATACACATTGTTATAATTTTTCAACATATTGTTGACCATCATACATCATATATAATATTAATTACTTCAATACATATTAAATACCTACTTTAAGATTGATATACATATTACATTATAGCAAAGGAACATAATATGGTCATATGGCATGCCTATATTGAGTTCAGAGTTGCAGGCAACTTGTAGTCTATATTCCATATAGCTTCTCTTTTCATTCAATAACAGGTTAGACCACTTATTGTTTGTCACTGAAGAATATGCATTTATAAATGCATGCTGCCCAGAAAAAAATAATTTTATCTGGAATTCTGTGAATGTGAAATCTAACTGCATTGCGTTGTCGTATGATTTATGTTTTACAGGTTAATGTACATCTAACATCAAAGTTAAAATAATGTGTAGGTTTATATTTGCCCGTATCTAATTCTAATACACCTTCGCAAATACTAGAAGAAATATAGTGTTATGATAATATTATTAAAATTTACGAAATATTTGTCTGAGAAAACAGATTTTTTAATAATATAGTATGCCTATTAAATAAATATTTATTAAATATTAAGAAATTTAAATTACAATGTGTTCATAATGAATATCACACAGTTTATAAATTCGATTTGAATGATTATGTATAATTGTTTTTCTACTGATTAATGGGCCAAACTTTTATGATTATATTTTTTTGAACATTCCCCTTCCACTTTGCATAAAATAAATAAATTACAAATAATGTAATAATTGAAACATGCGATTTAATTGATTTAAAATTTTAAAGTAATTTAGTCAAAACAACCAATTTTCACCTTGAGAGGAGGGGTATTACTTCTAGGGAGGGAGTGACTCAAATGAGTGAAGGAGGCGATCGCCCCCCCTCCTGAATTCGTATTTAAGGAATCGATTATACGAGCATGTGAGATACACATTTAAATTTTTTTTTATGTGGATCATTTTATAACGAAATCAAATCACGCGTGGCTATGAATACTGAATTGGGCTTTTTATCGGGTCCATACTTAGTGAAAAATCAAATAAAACACAAACATAACTTTCAAAACACAGACAGGTGTTAAAAAATACCTACACAAAA